CAAAACACCCCTCGTCCTTCCTTATTTACTATTCTACCCCGCCCCCAAAACTCTGCCAAGCTATCATTTTTTTTTTTTTAACCAGCGCCAACCCATCATATTACCAGTATATTTTTTTTTACCATGATCATATTACTAGTATTGGAATCCTCGAATTGTATGAGCTATCAGATCAGCAGCAGTCAAGAAGGGAGGTGCCAACATTTGAAATATAAAATAATAATAATAATAATAATAATAAATAGAAATATTTATTATCTTAACATTAACAAATCACAATCTGAATGATTGCTCTCAACTAAAATTCGGTTAGAAAAACTCAATTGGGGAGTCCAAATTCCATCATGTTAACTTCACTTTCATCTTGTGGAAGGAAAAAACAAATAATAATAATATGAAAAATATTTTTAAATCGAGGAATAAATTAATTTATTAAAATTCTAAAAAATAAAATTTTAAATTTAAATAGAAAAACAATTAAAGATCAAAAAAAGATTGGCTTCGTATTAGTTATGTGATTTCCAAACAAAAAATGTAGAGAATAAAAAAAAAATATAGAGAATAATTAAGGCATTCAAAAATTGTAAATAGTCGGCCTTTGTGATCCGAGTGATACCAAATTCCCCTGGATATATTTTTTGTTTTACCACGAAATTCTCCGGGATTCTCAATCCTACATATAGGTAGCACGAGTATTTAGGGTTGGTTCAAGAATTCAATGCGCTGGCGGAAAAAAAAAAAGAAGAATTTAATGCATTTTTTTATTTTTACTTTTAATTGAGTGCATATCTCTCTCGTTTATTATTTTTCTCCTCATTCTCTCTCATGTCTTTTCATATTCAATGCCTCTCCTTATCTCTTATTCATCATCTACATAAATATTGGTATGTTTAAGAAAGAACATTATGCTGGTCAAAAAAGAAAAAGAAAGAACATTATGGGGTATTTAGATCAGCTTTTTAAAAATAATGTTGTATAAGATAATTATGTGAAAAGAGTTCTATCTTAACTTGTATCACCTCATATATATTTTACAAATTTTGGCTTTTGATTAAAGAGATGTTTGGATGAAAATCAAATTATAAGTTTAAAAATAACAAAATAAATAGTGAAGGAATTTGTTTGGACTTGTATAAAAAATTTAAAACACTTTTAAGAGTATCCAAACACTCCTAATTTTGTAACTAAAGTTTGATTAGTTGGAAAAAAAATACATAACTAACATTTTAATTTATGTAACGTGAACACTTGCTTATTAAAAAGTTTGGGCGGAGTATTTTAATGTGTAGGGTTGTAAATTTAAAATTATCTACTGAAGAGTGATGAATGCGCGAATTCTGAAAAAAAAAAAAAAAAAGGACTTTGGCAATATTCAGTGTGAGTTATATAAATACGTGCGTCAGGCAAAATATATATATATATATATATATATATAAAAAATACGTGCTCATGAAGTTTTTCGGGTCTTCTTGAAAATGACAATCATACCCAATATTAACTCACTCAATAATGCCTTTCATTATTTTCATCTGTTACTTTGAGCATGGGACTATTTGGGATTGAATGTTAGCTGCCATAAATGTGTTTTCAGTTCCCACACAAATTTTGAAGATGCTTACCAACAGAGTTAGGTCTAAGAATGAGCTGGCTAATCTTTTTCAACATGACAACAATATCTTAAAAAATCATATCTAATAGAAAAATGTATGTGCTAAAAAAAGGATTTTGAAGGTGCTTTTGCAGACCAAGATTGTGAAATTTAATTTAAAGCTCCCCGAAGTTAAATACTCCTCCGGTCCTTAATACAGGACTCAATTTTTGAGTTGATTTTGGTCTTAAATATAAGAGCCTTTCTCATATTTATCAATTTTCTCTAAATTATCTTGTGAAATCTCTCAACCATAATCAAGTAAAAGAGAGAGAGGGGGTATTAAAAAGATGATTATGGTGTTTTAGAAAAAAATGTGTCACTTTTCTTATAATTAACTAACTTACCTAACTTCCTTAATCTAATCAAATTAGTTAAATGGGTCTTATATTAAGGACCGGAGGAGGAGTACTTTTTCTTTAGTACTATAAATATGGTGGACAATTAAAAAGCTCCTCCACTAAATCCTAATATACTCTTCCGGTTCTAAATATAAGATTTTTATACATACTAACATAAGAGTTTTTATTTAGGATCGGAAGAATATATATTTTTTAATCCTGGTCTTCATTTATCTATGATAATAAAACAATGTCCGTATTTATTTCATCGTACTCACTCAGAGATCATGGTGGACCTCATGCAATTTTTACGCTTGTTATCATGCCTTTAACTAAAACATTTTAAACATAGCCGGTATTCTTAATAATATTGTGATAATTATATAATAATAAAAATGTATAATTTTTTTTATATTTATGAACAAAAAACTCTTCATGCGTTTTTTAAGTAATGAAATAAGAAATTATAGTGCGATTAGACATAAATACAATTTTTACGCTTTTGTTATCATGCCTTTAACTAAAACATTTTAAACATAGCCGGTATTCTTAATAATATTGTGATAATTATATAATGCAATTAAAAATGTATAATTCTTTTTTAATATTTACTGAACAGAAAAAATCCTTCTTCATGTCGTTTCACCTGATTAAGTAATGACTAAAAAAAGTGAAAAGGATGCTTATTACTTAACACGATACTTCCAACAAAACTAAAACGGTACTTCATGCCAAGATTAGTCTTTATCTGCGACTCATAAATGGTGGTAGCAGCATTAAAATTTATATGCACACATATGAAATTCAATTTTTAACTATATTTGACTCAAGTTGAGGGAGAAAGTCGTAGAAGTAAAGATGTATCTTTATTATTATTTCTGATTTATATAAGAATTAATTTAACTTTTAATTTAGTCATAAATATAAAACTCCAATCAACTCTGACTCTGAGATATCTTAAAAAAAACAATACATATTTATCACAAATAACTAACTTAATTAATTTTTTAATCTATTTAAATTAATTAACTAACTCTCATATTAACAATTGGGTGTAGTATTACTTTATTTAGAATAAAATTAAGTATCCCAGAGTTTTTTCAGAGGATACATGGGGACTTTAAATTATGATTTTCACATTTAGAAGGTGTGCGTGTGTCCTGTCATTTTGCATCATTGGTCTTACAGGCCACTTAGGGGAACAGAGTCAGGAAAATCAAACTTAAAAAATTGCGATTTCTTATTCACATCACTGGAAAATATTTTTTTAAAGTTGGATCCCAGAGTTCTTACTTATGAAAAAAAAAAACAACTTAATTAGGTAACTTTTTAGTTTATAAGTATCTGCCAGCAGTATAATTTTTTTGGGGCGAAAAAACTATTTTTGTTTCTAGTGGTACTCTTCCGGTCCTTAATATAAAACCTATTTAACTAATTTGATTAGATTAAGAAAGTTAAGTAAGCTAGTTAATTATAAGAAATATGACACGTTTTTCATAAAATACTATAATCATATTTCTTAATACCTCATCTTTCTCTTCTACTTGATTATGGTTGAAAGGGTATCCATAGGGGTAATTTAAAGATAATTGATAAATACGAGAAATGGGTCTTATATTTAGAACCAAAAACAACTCACCAATTGGGTCTTATATTAAGGACCGGAGGAGTATTTTTTTCCGGGAGAAAAAGTTTTTTTTCCGGGAGAAAAAGGTTTTTTTTATCGTCTTTTTAATCTTTTTTAATTAGTTGGTTTGATTTTCCTCTTTCTTCACTCGGCCTATAATCCCCGCCTCAATGTGCTCACATAATACTGGTGGACCACCGAGGCATGTTTGGCGCATAATGTAATAAGTAAGCCGCATTTTTATGTCAAGCATCGTCAATTTGTTGTCGTTTTTATTTGTCGGAAAAATAATTTATAATTGGCACTATTTGCCTTCAAAAGTAGGGACGTACTGTATCTGTTTATAAATTTTGGAGATGAAATGGAAAGGATCTCAACGGTTTTTACATTAAAAATAATAATATATTTATTTCAAAAAAAATAAATTAAATGGGACTAATTGAATCAAACGGACTTGGGATCCCAGTGCGTCGCATGGAATTTAAGAACAAGAGAATAATATAAAAAGAATACAAATTGAGGGAAATCAAATTTTTATATTGTTGTGGTACATGCAGCCAATAGGATTACGTATTGTTGTGCTTCAAGCAATGTTCAAAGTCAAACGCAGAAAAATAAAAAAAAAGAAAAACCAAAAACCGGTGCAAGATAGGGTATTTTAGACAGAAATTCACTATATTTGTTTCCATACGGGCAATTTCGTTAGAACCAAGGTGGTCCTGTGTATATTTAAAGAGTATTTGCTGCAAATGTAAGAACGTGATGTTGGAGCGTAATGTTTAAGTTGTGTGCCATGTACTATGCTGTGCTCTTCCTTCATTTTCAAGTCCAAGCCGCACAATATTACGTTGTTTGGATCTGGGATGTATAAACATTTATGAATATTTTTACGTAAATTGAGACAGTTTTTTTTTTTTTATATTTATCTCGTTTTATAAATCATGATTAAAAAATTGTTTATAAGTTATTCTAAATAAATTTTATATAAATAAACTGGTCACTAGTATATTAATTTTCTTAATTAATTTTATTATCAGAATTTTATTCATTTTTTGAATTAATTTTTTTTTAATTGAAAAAAGGGAAGAGGCGAGAGATTTGATTATTTATTTGTTCAGACATAAACTTTTAAGACCGAAAATTTCTGTAACGGCAGAATTAGAAACTAACTTTCTTATGGATTCCTTATTTATAGTTGCAGCCATTACTTGGAAATGTGGAAGGGCAGGAGACAGGGAGCCAGATACACCCAAGTGCCAGAAAAGACAAGCTTCTTGAACAGCTGTAATGGCAGTTTCGTAATAACGGTGTGAAATATGCCCTTAGTATAATATTTTAATAATAAAATTATATCCATTGAAGATCCAACTTTGCCATTCAGAAAGTCCCCAATTTCCCTGCTACGAGTCCAAAATTCGCACTCTTGAGAGAAAACAACCAGACTTTGGAGAGAGATACGGAAAAATTTTATAGCTAGGACCAGAATTTTAGAGCCTGAAACACTGGTACGCGAGAGAGAAGCACAGAACGAGAGTGAGACTGTGGGGAGAGAGTTTCGGCATTAATGGCTGAGGGGAAGGAGGAGAGTAAATCTAGCGAGGAGAGTGTCAAATTGTTCGTGGGTCAAGTGCCCAAGCATATGACGGAGGCCGAGCTTCTTACAATGTTCAAGGAGTTCGCTCTGGTGGACGAGGTCAACATCATCAAGGACAAGGTCACTCGGTCCTCTCGAGGTTCTCTTCTTTCTCTCAATTTCAAATCTGGCATTTCTCTCTCTCTCTGATTCGATCAAATGTGCTTCTCTTCTAAATTTGCAAGATTGGTCAGATTCGTAGACTTATTGCTCCTCTGCGTCTCGTTCCAACCCTAATTTCTTGCTGTTTCGTTGTGTTCCGTTGCAGGTTGTTGCTTCGTGATTTGTCCGTCGAGGCAAGAGGCAGACAAGGCGGTCAATGCGTGTCATAACAAGAAGACGCTACCTGGGGTTGGTTCAACTTTCATGTCCTGTTACCCTACTTTGTGTTTGGTTTTTGTTTTCTTCTTTTCTCTTCCCTGGATTAGCATTTGTTTTGAACATTCATAATGTCTAAGTGAAGCCTTCGATCGAAGCAGACTAAAAGGCTAGTGCCGTAATATTCACTGATGCTCAGGGCCACCTACTTCTGGGTATCTTAAAAGGACAAGAATGATCTGATTTTAGTGTTATGCGTGGCATTTACTATTTTTGGGTACCGAACTCACGACTGCAACTTTAACTGAAACCTATTTTAGGCTTCTTACGATAAATTTGCATCAACAATGTAGTGTAGTTTAACACCAACTAGATGCTAACCGTAAGTATTAATGTGGGTTACTAATTTCTTATGAATTTACTTTAAAATCCCAGTAGAATGGGAAGAATAGACGTGGAGCCCATATGTGGTGATTTTGAGGGAAACGGAACATCATTTTATTTAGTTTAAGTTAGTTTTACTCCAACTTACATGAGAAATGCGGGCGCAATAACTTTATTTTTTTTTAACTAGATATGTAGAAACTAAAATAAAAAATCCATTAGGAGAGGAAAGGGTTAATTTTTAATGATCCAAGCTTTAAGACCACTTCCTCAGTATAAATTATCACTGGAGAATTCATAGTGAACTATTCTTTTAGAATATTTGTTTTTGAACTTTGTGCGTCTTGACCCACCGGTGGTTGCTAAGGTAATCTTATGAGTTGTGATCCATGGAATTGTAAGAACACTTAGCAGGATTTGAAATATTTTGATTCCTTGACTAGCCTTATTCTTACCCCTCAACACCCTTAATGATAACTTTACGAATGTCTTTGTTTGCATTACTGTATGATATTATATCCTCTTATAATTCTTATTTTAACGGGGAAGCACCCTATTCTTTGTTTCCAATTCAGGCATCGAGTCCGTTGCAAGTGAAGTATGCGGATGGCGAGTTGGAAAGACTAGGTGTAATATAATTCCATTAGTTAGTTAAAAATTTTGTTTATCAAATATTTTCTCAGAATTATTTAAAATTTTGTGAGCCAGTTTTCCTTTGTTATGCTTTGTTTCTTCTTTTTGTTTTTCCTTTTTTTTTTCCTGGAGGCATATGTGAATGCGTACACGTGCCTTGATAAATAAGTCTTGGCTTCCTTTCCAGAACACAAACTTTTTATTGGCATGCTTCCAAAGAATGTTTCTGAGGCTGAAGTCTCCGCTCTTTTCTCCAATTATGGAACCATAAAGGATTTACAGATTTTGAGAGGTTCTCAGCAAACAAGTAAAGGTGCTGCTTTAGAAGTTAAAGATATCCTTTCTTTTTTTTTTTCTTCTTTTTTTTTTGGTTCCGGTTGTTTGTTTTTCTGAACTACAAAGGCTTATTACATGTTCTCCTTGGTGGTAGGCTGTGCGTTTTTGAAGTATGAAACCAAAGAACAGGCCCTTGCTGCTCTGGACGCAATCAATGGAAAATACAAGATGGAGGTTAGTTTAATTGAACTATTCTTGAATCCCAGACATTACATAATTTGTTTAGTTGTATGGAGTCAATTGTTACACTATGAATCTGGGCTGAAATGTTTCCATCCGCTACTGTATTATAACTGTAACTGTAAGCAAGGAAAAAATTTGATCTAAAGTACGTGCTGCAACTACAGTAGCTGATCAAAATACTTGCCAACACATTGGAACTAATTTATGTTTGGTTGGAGGGATTGAAATTTTTGCTTCCCTTGTGTTCTTAGTTTCAAGATTACCCTTATGATATCCCAAAAACATCACCTGTCTCTTACCGTGCTTCTCTCTCTGTAGCTTCTTCTCATCCTTCTTTCCCTTTAGCCGATGCCAACCTTTATAGTGAGATTATTCGATAAAACTAATTAAATAATTTTTTAAAAATAGATTAATAAAAAATACTTAGTAAATAATAAATGGGTATAACAAGTGAGGTGAAAGTTGTTACATTTCAAGATAAATTATAATATAACCGTATTGTTTTTTTTTTTTCCCGGGGCAAAGAGAGAAAAAAAGAACTTAAATTTGAAAGGGTTATAACGGTCAATTTACTATCCCTCAGGGCACCTAAACCAAAAAAAAAAAAAATTATATCTCCCTTTTCTCCTCTTCCCTCTAAACCAAATAAGAGAACATTAAAATCTCTCCCCTCTTTTCTCCGGTCTGTTGAACCAAACTCACTCTAATTGTAATATCCAATTTAACTGGCAAGATGTATGGAAAGGCATGGTTTTATTTTATTTTTGGTGGAGAAACACATGGTTTTAAACTACACTACTGACAAACACACATGGCAAGCTTACTCATCCATGAACATTATTCATTGGTGTTGATTCATAAAATTTTTGGTTGTGTGTGCGTGTGTGATAGAATGGAGAGAGCATGCTTTTAAACACAATTACGATTTTAGTTGTAAATTGTGCTTGCAGCATTTTGGACCTTCAAGCGGCATTCAGCCACAAAATCCTGTTGGTGAGGGACATCAACATTAAATCTTGTGTGTTGAATGTAATTGCAGAAGCGCTAATACTTAGTATATTAGACCTTATCTGAATTTGGAAATTTAAACCTGGTTTTGTGCCCTTAATATATGCAAGATGATTGTTCATGCTTAATCCTTACTCATTATTTATATGATGAGACTTGAATTGAAGCCAAGTCTGGGCAAGAAATTACTCTGGTCTCTGAGGCTTATACTGTCTGCATTAAGTGGGCCTAAGTTAAAAAATCTTGAGCTTGGGATTGCTACACGAGAATACACTTGCGCTGGCATAAATATTTGTGAATGTGCAAAAACAAACTTAGAGTTATACATTCATGTCTCATACGCAATCAATTGGAACATGGATGTACCTTGGATTACATCTCCTATCTGTCAATAGTTAAAATCAAACACTGGACTTTATGCTTCCCTTTTCTTTATACAATATGCTTATATAGTTGATCTTTTTCGGCTGATATGAGCTGGTGCAGATTATGATTGCCAATGATGTTGCTACATTGGCATTTGGGTTAATCCATTTAATAGCTATCTGATTATCCTTCTATAGGGTTCAAGTGTTCCTTTGGTGGTCAAATGGGCAGATACAGAAAAGGAAAGACAAGCTCGGAGGGCTCAGAAAGCACAGTCCCAAGCTTCTAATGTGCCACATAATGACTCTCAGCATCAGTCATTGTTTGGAGCCTTGCCAATGGGTTATGTTCCACAATACAATGGATATGGCTATCAGGTGAATTAGATACATCTTCTGTGATGCAATGTATACTCTTAATGACACTTTCAGGCAATTTTTCTTTAGCATTATCATATCATCCTGTCACAAATCTTACCTTCATCAGTTTGTTATCTTTGTGGGGGCGTATATTTGACCAATGACAATGTCCTGTTGATAGGCTGCTGGGGGTTATGGGCTCATGCCATACCGCTTGCCACCATTGCAGAATCAACCTGGTTACCATAATATGATGCCTCACATGAATCAAGGAAATGCATTGGGACCTGAACTTGGTCCCAATATGAACCCTAGAAATTATTCTGTGCCTCCTGGAAGTTACTATGGTTCTTATCCTGCAGTTCCAGGTATGCAGCATCCAATGGCATATCCTGGAGGAGTGATAAGTCCTAGGCCTGTGAGTAGCTCTCCCGGTTCGGTTTCACCAGCAGGTGGAAGTAGCAACTCTGCCACATCTTCAGGTGCCAATAAGAATTCTAGTCAGGTTGAAGGTCTGTGGTCTCTGTATTTATGCATCTACCATCCTTGTTCTTCCATTATTCTTTATTTCTGAAAAAAGAATTGAATGTCTAGTTAGCGATAAGTGTGTCAATTTTTTCATTGTCTTTCGCCAACTCAGGACCACCTGGTGCCAATCTCTTTATTTATCACATACCTCCTGAATATGGAGATCAAGAGCTGGCAAATGCGTTTCAGCCTTTTGGTAGGGTTTTGAGTGCCAAAGTGTTTGTTGATAAAGCAACTGGTGTAAGCAAATGTTTTGGTAAGCCTGTACGCTCTCTGTTAGTGAATTTGATGGGTTTGCTTGGAGATTTTGGTGTCTTATGTGCTACAATTTTTCAGGGTTTGTAAGTTATGACTCTCCAGAAGCAGCACAAGCCGCCATTAATATGATGAATGGATTTCAGTTAAGTGGTAAGAAATTAAAGGTTCAGCTTAAGAGGGACAACAAGCAGAATAAGCCTTACTGATGCAAAACATTGTAGAATCCACATTGTAATTCATGATCCATCTGATGTTTATACGATTTGTAATTTCTGTAACATGAAAGTTCATTTAGACATTGATTATTAATTGATTGATTTTTCCCTCCACGCCTATTGATTGTATTTTAACTTTCTGGTTTCAACCATGAAAAAGGATGGCACATATTTCTCTGGCACCAAACCATTGGTTCAGCCACCAAATATTAGTTATAGAATTTAGATCATGGTTTTGTAGGTTCCTTCTCATAATTGACATGTAGTTGTGAGAAATTATTTGCTTCTGCTGGCGTCACTTGTTGAGCGTGATAGCCTCAGCCTGGGTCCATGCCTCTTGGTCGGATTGACGGAAGCAATTATTTCTCAGCGCGGTGGTGGGAGAGGGAAGGATCCTTTCTTAGCAAGTGGATTTAGTGGACGATGGATATCTGTGGTTAGAAATGCACAGATAGTGGCTCAAGGCTTTCGGGTATAGTCATAATCAGCGTAATCATCAATACATTATTTAATAAAAGCATAAAGTTGGCACAAAAAAATTAATAAAAATATAAAACTTTTAGTTAATATATTCACAACTTCAATAAAAATAATGCAATTTTGTTTTTCAAATTTTATATGACTTTTTTTTTACAAAGAAAAATCCTGTATTTTCGTTCAAAGGCTCAAAGCATTTGAAGTATTAGGACGGAGAACTCGATTCGCATGATTTGAGCATATCACGCCGCTTTAACGAGTTTTATGCGGTCGAGGAAGCGTGGAACACGTGAAGGCTGAATTTTGTCACAATCAATCTTCAATTTAATGGTTAAAATATCTTACAAGTATCTTAACTAATGCACGACCCTGCCTGGCTTGAGTTGGAATTTCGCTTTTTTGTTGAAAGCAGGCCGATGTTTTCAATGTTCCTTTGCTTTCAAATGGCCCGTTGGCACATTAATATTCGTTTGCACGGGCCACGTCAGGCCTAGGTTTCTTTTGTGTTTGTTTTTTGGTTTGAAAAATTATTATAAAATTTCAAGAAAGTAACGTCATCCCCAAAAAAGTAAATTGCATATAATAATATGTTTCGGATTAAAAAATGATAAGAAGTTCATGTAGTTTACTTTTAAGATTTTTTCTAATAATTAAATTCATTCCTCATAGCTTCAGTGATTTTTCATGGCGCATTTTTTTTTTTATTCCTTTATAGTGATAAAATATGAGGCCACTAATATAATTTCTTTTTTTTTCTTCCTTAAGAAAAACACTACATCATAACAACATCGTGATCAATAGTAACTTGTTTCAAATAAGTTAGGTTTATGCAATTTTGAAATGTGCTGCCTGCCACAAACGCGAGGCATGCTGATGCCATTGTCAGCATGGTTAGCGGAAAACAAAGGAGTATTTGTGAAGAATCCAGAGGCCACCACCAGTGGTGCGGTGGGCCCATTTCTTGTTCCACTAATTTGCTTCTTGCAGTTCCCATTCTGTATTACAGGGACACAGAATTGTCTAAAACATGCCCTAAACGTGTTGTTTGTATTTTGTTTAATTGATTTTTTGTGATTATTCATAACTTGGAAGTTTTTGTCATCTCGGACTTTTCGACCATCTCAGATGGGAGGCTTCCGTTGTCAAAGTGACCAATATTAAGTCTAAAACTACAAAAGAATATTTCGTGGGGCGGCTGCCTTGTATGCCCTATGATGTATATCAAGTTACACAAGTTATTTGAAACCGGACAAGGTTGTCTCTGTTTCTTTCCTCAAGATGGTAAAGTAATCCGTTTGTGCGATGGATCTTCTAGAAGGGTGGGTGAAAATCCCTGTACTCGCAATTGGGCATGAGCTAATCATTCCATTATCTTTCTAGAAGACGCCCACAACAATGTTGAGTCGTATCTCTTTCGCTAAAAGCGTCACGTTTCTCTCTCGACTGTGCACTTTGTTCGCATACAAAATCTGCAGAATTCCACATAACCTTCCATTCGTTCTCTCTCTCTCTTTTGTACAAGATGGACATGAAAGGCACTGTAGATGTATCTTGTTACCTGCGTTTTGAAGCCACTGGGGATTCTGAAGCCTCCTGTGACCCCATCAAGGATCCTAATATTGCTTGTCGAATTTCCATATGTGACGATGACGATGCTCAGTCTTGCTGCTACGATTCATCTGAGAGTGTCAATTCTGACCAACTCATCAATGGGTACGAGCCTGACGAAAAGAGGATAGAAGATGAAGATGAGGAGGAGGTGTGTGTTTATGGAACAACGTACAGAGAAGAAGAAGAGGAAGATGATGATGATGATGATTGTGAGATTCAAGTGCAGAAAAAGGTCAGAGTGTGTGGAGATTCAGGTCCAAAGAAGATGGATGAGATGGAAAAGAACAGACTCTTCTGGGAAGCTTGCTTGGCATCTTAAAACTCCATCAGATCATCTCACAGATTCTTCTGGCTTGTATTGTGTAATTGGTTAAAAAGTTCTGTGAAGAAGGCGTTTAGTGGATTCTAGGTATGGCTAAAAGCTCGCATTTTTATGTAATTTTCTGAACTGATGCCCCCAACTGTATATATGATGCAGGTAATAAGTGCTGCCATTCTTTCTGGGCATTTTTGGTCCTTTACGATGATGATGATGATTTGTTTCAAGTTTAAACAGTAGAGTGATCAGCTATACATTAAGAGGGTGTTTACTTTTGAGAGGCACTTTTTCACAAAACGAGACAAATTCTTTCATATATTTACTTACTTTATAAACCGTAAAAGCACTTTTAAAATCATGATTTGGTTTCTATCCAAATATCTTTTAAATAGTTATTCTTTCGGGTCTTATATTTAAGACCCGAAGAGTATTATATTTGCTAATGTATTTATTGGTTTGGTCTATTTTTAACTATTTTTTTGTCTTACAATCTTATGAAGTCAGCTAAATTAAAATTAGGGATGTTTCTTTGATATTTAATGCCGACCCGTCAGTTGGCTCTGATTTTCTGAATCACACTAGAAAGTTATATTATCTTTCGAAACAACAAAAAAATGCTACTTATATATAGTTTGACCGAATTGTTCTTATATTTATTTTTAACATCAGGGTACCTGTTAAATATAAATTGAACTAACCGATAAAACAAATTATCTTTTTATTATTCTTCTGAGATTAAAAGAGTAAATTTGTAATTTGAAACTCATAATAACTGATAATGAATTTTTTTATTAAGAATATATTTTTAATTGAAAATAAATATTAATTTCTGGAGCATGTTATTTTTTTAATTTAATGTTTTATAATTTTAGGAAATCATATAACTTAAGATAAAGGTAACTCTCTCGTTGATAATTAAAACTGCAAGGACTATTCAATCTTGAAAGCTTCCCTTTTTTTCCAAAAAAAAAAAAGGGAGTGAGGAGAAGAAAATTTTACAGCTTTTAACTCAATGAACTTCTGGGTTGCTGAGGGGATAAAGACAAATAGCTTATTACTTGCTTTTACGAGTGCTTTTATATAAATTGAGACAGTTAAATATAAGATTTCTTTTATAATATAATTTACACTATAAAAAAATTTTATATTTAGAATCGAAAAAATATTTATTTTTATATTCTGTAAATTATGCCGGAAAAACTAAACATTAAGAGGAATCATTGCCTTGCTGGTAAAAATAAGCCCAATACTCTCTCTCTCTGTGTCTGCACTTCCACTTAAATGGCCTCTGTATGTTCCACCCCATCAGAATTCAGAAACTGCATCCTCCGACCACCCACTGACACCGACTTAAATAGAGGTATAAAGTACAGAACTTTGGACCCCAAGTTTGTAAAATTGAACGTGCTAAAACAAGACATACTAGATATAATAATGAACGCATATCACTGATAATTTGCACTCAACCTCACCAACTTAAGAGATTCCGAATTCTAAATTATGCGCACGTATTATACAGTCTATTCAAATCGTTTAAATGAAATAGAACTGATCTGTTCAAAGGATTGGGGTTGGGAAAAAGAGGAGAGGGTGTGATTTTCAGAGGTTGAACAGAGGATATGGAAGAGATTGCTTGTTTCAGTCAAGTTAGTCGCCGATGATACAATTGAAACGGCAAGATAGTTCCTGCTAGTCAAGGAGCAGAAAAGTTGGAATGCTCCAAAACGTTCCAAGATTGCTTGTTTCAGTCAAGTTAGTCTGGGTTTGGATGATTGGTATGATTCCAAGGGATGTCATATGATTCCTACATTCTAACCTTGGTACGCTTAAAAGTGGAACTGGAATCCATTAAATTTTAATCATACATAGCGTACATAGCACATCCATCCCAGGCTAAAACCGAGTTTTCACCCTTCTGAAACATGAAGTTGTTGCTGCCCATCCCTTCTCATTTGTCATGGTTGGAATACTTCAGAACTGGGGAACATACACAAGAACCAGGTCCTGTTCAGCCCTGAACTGAACAAGACCCTTCACACAGCCCACACCAACCAAACATTTCCTACCCCTTGTATTAATTTACACAAGCAAACCCTGCTTGTAAAGACAAAATCTGAAACATGGTCCTCAAACGCTGCTAAACAGAAATCTAGGTTCCTAAATGGAGGGAAACATTGGCATTGGCGAAACAGAACCTGTAAATTTAACCATCATCTCCATATCATTGCTGCCTGTACATCCTAGTGATGGACTACTGGTCTCAACTTTTGATCCCCTGGCAGTCTGAGCTGTCCTTGATCTTTCACCATGCGAGCAACTCAAGCAAGAATTCTCGGTTTTGCTATCAGTAAATGACATAGCAGTTTCCATGTTACTGCCAGAGCGACTTATGGGGCTAGCACAGTCCTCCCGCAAATCTCCTGCAGGTTCTTCTGAGTATTCTTTTGTGTGTTCATCCAACTGCTTCAAGAAGCATTCCTCTATGTCACTCAGAGACTCGGCACTGCCTTCTTCCTCTTCACTGCTGGGGCTGTAGTGTGCATGTTCATCATAATCTGACTTGCTTCTTCTTAATTCGCCACTCGTCTCCATTTCTTGCTGACTGTCATATCCCTCCTCAGATTGGCGATCTGATGAACGAAATGACATGGGTGAATATCCTCCTGTCGTTGTTTCTTCACGTTCTCTAAGTGTCTTCATTATCAAGGTCTTCAGCAAGTTCATCACTTGGACCGCATGCATCAGAGCAGTTAATGGATCAGACATCTGTAACAGATGACCAAAATCAGACAGGAAAATTAAGAACAGATGATAATAAGAGTTCAAACATGCATGTAAGAATAGAATCATAGGAGAGCTAAAATGTAGAACCTAGGAAGTAATTTTTATTTTTTTACTGATTAAGGAGACAAATACCTGAGTCATGTTTGGAGCAAAGACCATTGCAATATTTCTTGCATTCATTTTGTTGAATTCTTCCTCCTCTACAACATCAGCCATGAGGTCAATAGCCCAGTTGAGCAAGGCAGCGTCAGTTGGTTTTAGCTGCTTCACGAGCTCAACTGATTCTTCTTCTGTGTTGCACTGAAGAACCTGTTCGGGTGAAAGTCCATCCAGAACTCCTGAAGGAAGCTCTCGAAACCAGGCTTTAATTAAGCCTGCTAAACAGTGCACATCAATGTCATCCGGAACAATCCCCCTATTCAACTGGTCTCTCACATGTTCTTCTTGACTGTTTTCTGGGTTTATGCGAAATATTCCTTCCCGCTGAAAAATCATCAAAGTTAAACACAGATACGTTATATGATGTTAAATGCTTGTGATTGCAACATCTTAGCGCTACAAATAGCTAATATTTATCATGAAATTGGTACCTTTAGGCCCCCCTGTGAGTATAAACGCTCCTGCATAAGTAAGAGAATAGTGGGCACACTATTTCCTTTTGAATCATAAGAACACTGCATCGATTCTGCCGACACGCCAAAAACACTTACACTGCAAGTTTTGATGATTGTAATCACAAATTAGAAAAAGACTGAAATTGTATTTAGAGAATGGAAACGCAAAGAAACAGGAAATGTCACAGAACATTACATGCTTGAATTTATGCAAGACAGTATGTAACGTTAATATCTGCACAGACCTTCCTACTAAGCTAATGTCCCGAGACATTGATACGTTGATTAATGAAACCGCCTTCTTTATCCACAACGACGTGGGAAAAAAATGAAGCATATAATGGATATATGCCTCAAACCCAAGACTAGCACAAGCTTCCCCACTATAAAATGAAACATATAATGGACAAATGCCCCAAATTACCCCTTTTTTTTTTAATATAAGCGAATAACATCGAAGGATAATGCACGGCCTAAATGTTGTCATTTGATGCATTATTCTTCTATTTCTAAATTCTAACCACTGAAGTGTGTCCTTTACTAGCCCTAGAGTTCCTTCAATCACAAAAGCCTCCTTCCTCCTCCAGCACACACGCTTAAACCCACCAATAACCAAAGCTTTCCTCATTCAGCACCAAAGAGCTGAACCAATAACCAAAGCTTTCCTCATTCAGCGCCAAAGAGCTGAACTTATAAAGGAAGCTAAGCAGAACCCATGTCTAATCTTCAAAAAATGAAATAAACCTGGACCGGATGAAGTACCTAGCACTGGGAACCCGGCCCGGGATCTCGATCTCGAACTCAACAGGAAGACCCAGAAAACCATTGAAACGATCGAAAGTGACATGAGTGATGTGCTGAACGTTCGTGGGCCATCCTATTTCCATGTGATGAACAGAGGGTCTAACCTCGTCGGGTCGATCCACCCGACACGACACCATGGACTTCCTCAAAGCGGCCAAGAGGATTGCGACGAGCGACAACTGGTTCTGCTCTTCTTCCGCGGCAGTTCTTCCTCTCTTCGCTCCTTTCCCTCCGCCGCAACCTCCGCCCTTCGTTACCATCACAAGCCCCGCCATTCTCTCTCTCTCTCCCCCCCCTCTCTCTCTCTCTCTCTCTGTCTTCAGCAAGAGATTTTAAATTTGAGGGATGGTTGTGGATTTTATGAGTTTTGTTGGGTTGCATTCAAGAGTTTTGAACTTCAAACGGCCATTCATTTCAAATTCTCCTTCCTTTATCCACAGTGTTCTGACACTTCTGTCCTGAGATACTTCCCGCAATTACTAAATTGCCATTAAACTACTCTCAATCGATTCATTTTTAAACTCGTGATAATTATAAACCCAATTAAACTTATTAGTTTATTTATCAAATTTTCCGTTTTTATGTTTTTAGCTTACAAAATCATGTTAACTCGTTCTTAAACTCGTACTAAATTTTTTGATTTGATTATGTTTAGTAACTTTATATATGAATTTTATAAAAAAAATTTATGTTAAATGTGATAGGGTTCTAGTTATAATCCAGAAACGATTCGTGTATATATATATTTCACAAAAACGTGAAATCAAAGTAAATTATGAATATTGATGAATATAAATTTAATTATTTAAATTTAAAATATATTTAAATAAAATTATTCTCATTTTTTATATATTAATTATTTGATTATATATTTTTAATACCAGTCTATTAATAAAAATAAACTCTTACGAGTTTATGATCCAAATTTAAATCATTATCACGAGTTTTTTTAAACTCGTGAGGTTGACAACCTTAACCCCAATTCACTCACACTTAATCGCTTGTCAATTGTCATTATTGCTGCCGATGGTACAACATTGTTCCCAAAGGGAAAGATCCGGGAGTTGATTAGCCTTAACTACCGCTTAATGGATACACTTCTATAATTTTATGTTGTTTTATTTTGAATTTGAACGGATGGCATTTTGGATTTGTTACAAAACAGGAATGATTCACTGTTTAATTAATACTATTAATCAAGTACTGCAATGTTAATGATTGCTGCCAGAAAAAAGGATGATAATTATTATCAGGTGAAAGAAAGGTTGGCTCTTTATAAATGCATAAACCAATCATGGAGGTTCTTTATTTCCCATCATTAATAACCAAAGGTCGCCTCTTTCATAGCTACTATTATATATTTTTATAACATAAAGCTTTTACACCAGCTCTGTGACCTTTTTAAAAAAAAAAAAAAAAAGAAGAAGAAAGAAAGAAAGAAAGAAACGAAAGAACAAATTCTTAGCTCGTGGCCGTCAGATTTCTCCACCGGAATATTATAGGCGACCAGCGGGAACATAGGTTTTTATGTTGGCATTATTTGAAATCTTGGGGGTTAACCGTTCGAGAAAATGCTATTGTCATAGAGCATGTAATAATATCTACGTTATGTGAGCCAAATACACCAAATATTACTAAGAGTGAAAAGATTAGTACACGTAATTTTCCACCGCCCTGTCATTATGATTATATAATTCACCCAGCAAATTGACAAAGCTACCTTCGCCATGTGCTGTTCTGCACTAAGATCCATGGATTAGCATTTTTATAAGTGATTTGTATGGCAACATGCAGGTTAGCATAGCATATGTCAGTTTTTATCCCCCTGACAAATGTCAAGCTCGAATGCATTCTTTTAAAGATTTTAATAACTAACCAAATAAGATTAGATGTAATAGAAGATACTAGTTCAGAATTAAAGTTAATGCAGATGGAAGAAGAGAAATAAGATAAGTAGTAAAAAAAAATAAAAACAATTTCCGAGAGAATAGATAGATGGCTGGTTGGAAAATGGGGTAGTAATCGAAACGAAGGAAGACCGTTGCCAAAAGGCGAAGATCTGGTTGACCAACAAGCACAGACATGTCGATTTGATTGACTCATTCATCGCTCTCGCTTTGCCTTTTATGTTTTGGGTCTGAGGCTGAGAGTGAGACTGAGAATGCAGACAACTTTGGTACGCCCAACCCAACAACTCTGGGGCCTTTTTTATGTGCCTCGCGTGATTATAGGAATTACCGCTCCCTTCTTATTTTATCTTTTTAGATTTCAATGTCCCTTTTTTTATTGGTTCCCCAAAACTGCTTGTCCTTTTGTTTTCTCTGTATTACCATTCGGATCCTATGCCATTTCTCTCACCTTTCTCTCATTCACTGCACAATTCATATATCCAACAAACATACCATAATCTCATGTTCTTTTAATATAAAAAAAGAAATGATAAAATGACCGCATAAGGGCATTGCCCAGAGACAAAACTCTGCCTTTGCATGGGGGAGATGGTAGGTTCAATCCCCCACAAGACTAGTTTAGCCCCCTTCTAATTTGAAAACATAAAATAAAATGGCCCCCATTTGGTGTTGGGGAAGAGGCGAACGGGAAGGGAAGGGAAGGGAAGGCACTGTTTTAGCATGAAATTTAAAAAAAAAAATAGTAATAATGATATGCCGCGGGTTGGCTCCAGACAAACACAGCATGTTTTCTGCCCGTATCCAATTTTGTTATTTTTGAATTTGAGCATGCTCTTTTTAAGTAGAATTGGGCAAAGTTAGAACATGTCTGGAAACACGTAGGCCATGTCCAGACTATGATATTCACCGGGACGAAAGTGATTCCAATCAGGCATTTAGGTGGGGCATATGAAGAATGGTGATGGAAGAACCGTCTTTGAGATATGATAAATCACTTGTTCATACTTAATGTAAAAACGAGTTATAAATTTGATTTGATTGCAAATATAAGGCACCAATCTATATTATCTCGGATATTTATTTATTTTGCTGTCAAATAATCCATATAGTATGTAATTACACATTTTAAGAGTTTTTTTTATCAAACAATATCAAACGGCAGTACGAATATACAAGATTAACAACAATATTTGACAAAAAATCAACACATGTTTATTATGAGTGACTAACTTAACTAATTTTTTTAATATCTACAAATTAGATATTATATTTAACTCTTGTATCACGAATTGGATATAGTATGCTTTGAGGTTAATGGAGTGTGGGGTACAGGGAGTGGTTTTGTTGGCGTATAATGGAGCGAAGAATGAAGAAGAGAGAAAAGGGTAAAAGTAAGAAGTTTGGGATGGCAGGGGAGGGCAAAAGAAGGGGGCACACGTGCAGCGGGAAAGACGCTGGGGGAGTGTGAATCATGTGAATAAGAAGACAACAAGGTTGGGGTAATGTTAATGTTACATATGGACATGGGAGCTTTTAATGAGGTCTGCGTCACTGGTGGAATCCGAGATAAGAAGGAGCGGAGAGGGACATGGAAAGGGACCCATTTCTTTGTATTTTGTTTGGTTTTTGGGCAGTGCGATGTATGCGACAGCGTTGCTTCCATCTCCACCTTCACCCTCCCATGTTTATTCATCCTGTTCCGAAAATTGTCTTGATATTTTTCCTCGTATTTCTCACCACCCCGCTATCCCTATCACTTTTAAGGATTCTGTTTTCCCATCTCTCTCTCTCATACTATAAAGTTTGGGGACACAAACATTTGACACTTTTTTAAGGCTGTACTTTTTTAAGCATTTTTTTTTAAATGCAAGTCTTAGCAAGATACGTTGAGGGCTGGGAGGACGAGGAGCTGCTGCATGAGTTGTGGGTGAATGAAAGGCAAGCCTCTGTGCAGGCATGTGGCCTAGAATTTATATTTACCACTTGGGCATCCTGTTACGAATTTGGGCCCAACGGCCAACCCCCTCAGGTTAAACTGAAAACTATTTTCTTCGGGCTTAGAACCTATAAGGTTATACGTTTAAATTCTACTGTTGATGTGATTATTTTATTAGTAGAAAATCTGTAAATACTTTTATAATTATTTTCTGAATCTAAAGTATATCCTGACGGGCCCAACTCACCTAATTTGTTCTTAAACAAAAAAAAAAACACTTTTTTAAGACGTATCTAACGGCATTAGCATCAATTCTATATTATGAAAATATATGAACTATAACGATATGATCGGTTTCAAATCGTGTGTAAGGCACGCGTAAAGTCTGGTTATTCCGAAATTTGAGAACGTGATTGTTGATTTTATATTTGCATATACACGGAGGGCGACTGCTAATTTCATTCAGTTGGTCAAAATTATCAGAAAAAGCTATACATATCAATTTTTATTCTGACCTTATTATAAGTCAATGTAACTCATTCTTACAAGAAATGCATTAAATCAATAAAATTTGTTTTTTTAAATGTATCGTTATTAAAACTCATCTCCCTGCCTTTGTAAATAATTCTCACTCTCTTCCCACTTTCTTTTTTATTAGGAGAATTAAATAACAATGAAATTAAAAACTCATTGTTAAATATCCTACAGGCAATTTATACTCGGGGCAAAAAAATTTCTTGTACTGGTAATAAAAACCCCAGTGGTAATACCCTCCATTAACTATGGTCACGGTTCATTTCAGTTCTACTTGACGCCGGAAACCTCGTGTTGACCATTAGCAAAGCACATATCTTTTTTTTTTTTTTGGAAAAAAATATTAACATTATTAACAATTATCCGAAGTGGCAATGAACATGGCACTAATCATGGAGAACTTTGAATCTTGAAATCGCGTCTTCAGGCCCTGTCACACCAATAACATTCCTCCACATTTTTGTCCCCACGCGATCAAACATCTTCATGTCTAAGTTTCAACGCCACCGGCACCCATTCAGGAACATGTTTTCATTTTTCCTTAATATCTATTAATTAATTAATTTGAGCAAATTAAGAAACCTTATTAAGTTACTACTCCGTCCCTTATTATAAGATCTTTTTAACTAAATTGTACCGTTTAAAAAAACAGTTAGAATTAGTTAAAAATAATTAATATGTAGCTAATGCAATTTTTTCAAATATACCCCTATATATAAATGGGTAGGTGTGTGAGAGTAATAGTGAGATAAATAAAGAAAGAGAATGTATTAAATACATTAAACTAAGGGTAAAATAGATAATAATGTATTAAATACTCAGACAAACTAAAAAAAAATATTATAAAAAGAAACAGACCTATTCAAAAAATTGGATCTTTCAATAAGGGAGGAAGGGAGTAGTTATTTGTAATAAATAGATGTTATTTTTATAAAATATCCTTGCTAATTACATGTATTAGTTAGAATTATCATTTGATGAAATTTTCAACATACGCAACTATTACAATGAGTACTTTGAAAAAAAATAGATAAATATGAAATACAAAATGAATTGGGATCTTATATTTAGACTAAATTAAAAATCAAATTAGTTCTTATATTAAGGACTGGATGTAGTACTACATATATACTAAATATATTAATTAAATTATTGATTGATACTATTCCGGTTCTAAATATATGACCCATGTTATAGTAGATATAAATTATAATAAAAAATAGACCTTCTACAAGAGAGAAGAAGTATTAAGTAATTAATTAGCATATGGCTTTATTTATAATCATATTCAATGACATGGATCTGGACGACACGTTACGAGAGAGGGAGAGAGGGAGAAATTTAAAAACTGGACAGCAAAACTTAGGAGGCTCTTCGCGATGCTTGACGCGCACCCAAAAGCATTGACTTTCGTCACTGCTGGGTTCTTCTTCTTCTTTCTTTTATTAATACATTTTTATTATACTACCTCCAATCTTAATATAACATCTTATTTAATTTTTATTTTGGTCTCAAATATAAGACTTCAATCTACTTTGCCTCTCATATTTATCTATTTTTTTAAAGATAATTCTTTACTAATGGTAGTTCTAAATAACAAACTTGATTAGCAAGGATATTTTAAGAAAAAAAACACACATTCATTGGACAGGAGGTAGTATTAAACATTCTCCCTTTCCTGTTTGTAAATGTTTTCGTTGACTTTTTTTTTATAACTATGTACTATGTCAACCTAGCTAGCAACAAGTTACAGGCTGTAGTTGATCATTTATTTGTGCCTTCGATTCGTTCTAAGTAGTAGACGAACATTAGCCTGCAAACTTGAACCTCTAAATTAAGTTTAACTCCTGATCTCTTCGTATACATTTGCTATTTTCATTATAATAACCCTTCCACATCACTCTTTACATGATGGTAACTGTGAAGGTGCCAAGTGGAGGGAAAATATTATATACTGCGTTTTCCACGAAGTGCGCTGGAATAGCTAGGCAAGAAAAGAAGAACTGATCGGTGTTATACATAAAAATTCAACTTGGAATTTGTTTAAGCTCTAATTATTAACCTGAAGGCTTTCATAAAGACCGGTTTACGACATTTGCATCTAAGTATGATATATTTAATAATCAATTAACTGTCAGAGGAATTGCCAAGTCAAATTAAAAACATACAAAACTTTAAAAGAATGATGGCCTGCTATGATCATGGCCGAAGGAAGCAGTTTATATCTAACAAGTATCCATATTAGCCACATAATAATTCAATTATTTCGAATAACCCTATAATTTTAGTATATACATGCATACAGTAATGTGTGTGTACGTCCATATATACATATATATATCTATACATATACATTCACACATACACGCGCATATAATATATAATATTCATCACGATCAAAGCTGGTTGGAGTTTTCTCATATAATTGATTCTTCTTCCGAAGGAAATCTCCATATTAAATTGATATTCTGAATCTCTCTCCATCCAATCATAGCAACTTAATTGAAGCGGATATGTTATTATATAGTTACGCTCCGTAGCATCTGATACTGGGTAGGTAATTATTTGACAGCATCAAGCCTGTCTTGGACAATTAACATTATATGCAATGCTGAACTGGACTTGACTTAAAAAAGAAGACGAAGCGTGCCTATAAAAAGAGATCAGTGACCTTAATGCCAATGCATTCCGATCAAGTAGTTCTCCATATTTGTGAAGGAGAGAAGTGAGATTGTAAACGGGAGATTTCCAATATGAGGCCTGCTTTATTCTTGCTAGGTTGCGTGTTGCTTTTTGCTACTCTTGATGTTGGACAAGGGGGCAAATTAAGGAAGAAATTCTACCGAAGAACGTCTTGCCCTCAAGCTGAGGACATCATCAAAACAAGAACCACACAGCTTGTCTCTTCTAACCCTGCTTTGCCAGCCCAGTTGCTGAGAATGCAATTTCATGACTGCTTTGTTAGGGTACATATATCATACAATTTCTAACAACTTCTTGTACTATTAATTGCTCTTTGTTCTCTATGGATTTTTTCTTTTGGCATCTGTAAATATATATAACCTGTTTTGCAAAACTTAAATACTTGCAGGGTTGTGATGCATCTGTCCTGCTGAACTCGACTGCTAATAACACTGCAGAACGGGAAGCAATCCCAAATCAGACTTTGAAAGGCTTTGAAGCTATTGATGACATAAAAGCAACCGTCGAGGCCAAATGCCCAGGAGTTGTTTCCTGCGCTGACATCATCGCATTGGCCACTAGGGACGCCGTTTCCATCCCTGTAAGTACCTGAACAATCTGAACCTTATTTAACTCCATTCACAGAAGTGATATGCATATATTTATATAGTGCATTTTAGAAAATAAACGGTGAATATAGAGATTTAGAAAGTATAACATATGAACTAAAGTAATGCTACACGCGAGTTGGTTTAGCTTATCTGATGCCTAATATGTGTGTGTGTGTGTAGTTTAAGAAACCTCTATGGGAAGTGCTTACTGGCAGAAGAGATGGGAGAGTATCGAAAAGCCAAGAAGCATTGGTCAATATTCCACCACCATTCTTCAACTTCACTCAACTCAGGGCCAGCTTCGCCAGGAAAGGCCTGACCTTGCACGAGCTGGTGGTGTTGTCGGGCGCACACACCATCGGAATAGCTCACTGCAACTCCTTCAGCAACAGGCTCTTCAACTTCACCGGAAAAGGCGACCAGGACCCTTCTCTGGACCCCAAATACGCCGAGTTCCTCAAGTCCAAATGCAAGGGCCTCAGTGACAATACCACCATCGTGGAAATGGATCCCAAAAGCTCCACCACATTTGACTCTGACTATTACTCCAGCCTTCTGAAGAACAAGGGATTGTTCGAGTCTGATGCTGCACTTCTGACCAACAAGCAGGCCAAAAAGACTGTCCATGAATTGGTTGACCAAGAGGATTTCTTCACCGAGTTCTCGCAGGCCATGAAGAGGCTCGGAAACATTGAGGTTCTTGCCGGCACCAGTGGAGAAATTAGGAAGAAATGCTGGGTTGTTAACTCTTAAAATGCTTCGTCTCTCTTTATTCCTTCATGATTTTGTCTTTGTTCTTTGTTTTCAATCTTCGCTTGAAAACGTGGCATTGTCAAACTATATCATCGTGTCGCTGATTTTATTTGTTGTGGATCTGTATTGATGGGAGAGTTATTTATGTTGTTTAATGAATAAAGTTCATATTTGACCCAAAGGCGGATTGAATACATTGATCTATCGCTGGCAGTGACATGCGTGGTTCCCCCCCCCCCCGGGGCTATCTACGATGATATGTTGTTTATTGAAGGAAAACTAACAGTTTTAGGTACCCTTTACAGAATACAGAGATTGAAACAGAGTGGCTGTCGTTGACCACCTTAAATCAGTCCGAATAAGACAATGGGTTGGTGCTTGTGCGTGTGTTGTAGGTGTGGACTTCCATGCATCACGTTCTACATCTCCCCCCCCCCTAAAAAAAAAAAATCAAATGACAAGAAGTCAACATTTTGTTTTTTTAAAAGAAACCACGTGTCTTATTGGTGACACATCTCACATGCACATGTTATAAAGAGTTCATGCAGTGTATATTACTACCTCTTGTCCTAATTATAAGAGCTAGTTGACTAGTTTGAGGAGATTAAGGAGAGAAATTAGGTTAGTTATTTATGATAAATAGGATTATCTTTCTTAAAATATCTTTACTAATCAAGTGTATTGGTTAGAATCACCTTTGTTAAAAGGACTACCTTGAAAAAAAATAAATAAATATGAGAGACAAAGTGGATTGGGATCTTATATTTAGGATCAAAATAAAAGTCAAACAAGGTCTTATATTAAGGACCAGAAATAGTATAATTTAAGTATATTTATGGAGTTTAGGTGTGTCCACACGTATAAAGAGGACATTAAGGCCAATAATAATTTGCTTTTTCATTTATATCTTACTTTTTTTTTGGTGAATTATATTTATATCTTATTTATATTCTACCAAATATAGCAATACAAGAATACAAGTATCTTGTTTTGAACATACTGAACATGAAGCATGCGTTTGGATGGGCGCTTAAATGAGGAAACATGCTTTGGAGCCTGTACATCGCTGGTTTGAAGTTAATTTAGGCCCCATTCAGTAGAGTGGTGAAAATACCTTATAAGTACGTTTTATATAAACCAAGACAAAATTCTTCCAGTATACTTGTCTCGTATTCCATAAATCACTATTAAAAAGTTATTTATAAACTTTTCCAGATCGTAAGTTGTTTGAGTGGGCTTTTAGTTTAACCAACTTTTGTGAAAAGAGCCAAGTGTGGTAGGAAGCTAAATTTTTTAGCTTTTGCCACGGGTAACATGGAGTAACATTTGGAGTCATGGAGCGAGAAAATAATGAAAATGAGAAGCAAGATAAATATATTTAAGTGGGTCCTATCTTTATCCAATAATTTGGTTTTTTAAGAAGAAAAAAATTAACTCATAAAATTTATAATTAATTTAATATATTATTTTTCTAAAATTTATGAAATTGCATATGGATAATATATTACTTTTGCTCCTTAATATAAACTCTAGTAGACTAATTTGAACAAATTAAATAAATAAATTATTTAATTATATTATATGTTACATAATCTTTCTAAATATACTTATGTATATCCTCAATTTTTCTAAATTAGTTATCTAAGTCTTATATAAAATCTCATGCCTTTTTGTCATTTTATATTTAAATTTACTTTTTTATTATCCATCCAAATGAATTTCAACTTTTCAAATTTATTTTTTATAAACGTCAATTCAAATATAAATCACATTAAAAGTCAAATAGAATAAAAATCTGTTTTGCCTCCGTTAATCCATACATACCCGTAGTAATAATATTCCCATTTCCAGTCGCTTAATTACTTATTCAAACGTACCAAACATACCGTAAAGACTGTAAATACCATTCATATTGGTTTCGTTATCCATGTGACTCGGCTCACATGAGTGATTGAATATACTCTTACAGTCCTTAATATAAGACCCATTTAACTAATTTGATTATTACATCAAGAAAGTTAAGTAAGTTAGTTAATTATAAAAAAAGTGACACATTTTTCCTAAAACACTATAATCATCTTTCTTAATACCCCATCTCTTTCTTCTATTTGATTATGGTTAAGGGAGTATCTATAGGGGTAATTTAGAGAAAATTGATGAATATGAGAAATGGTTCTTATATTTAGGACCAAAACCAACTCAAGAATTGGATTCTATATTGAGAACCGGAAGAATATATAGTAGGGTTTTGGATGATAATTACTGGTTTGATAGAATAAAATAATTGTCTTGGATTGGTGATGCAGGAAGCTTGTTGCTGGATGGACCTAATTAATTAATGCCAAGGAATTCATACAAAGAGAAGAAGAATGAGATTCGTTTATAGATTCCGACGAGTAGCGCTCTTGCCTTGTATATAAAATTACACAAAATGACACCGCATCGAATATAGAACTCACAATAAAATTACTTCGATAGGTTGAAAGCACGAGGTGGTTCATCCCGTTGGAAAAAAAATCATCATAACATATATGATATATCTCTATATAACACAAGAATACATAGACTAGACGTAGGTGAAATTTATACGAATGCTTTTTTTTTTTTGCCAAATATACGCATGCATTATTATCTTCAGGAAAAATACAAGCGACATGATTCTGGTGAAATACGAAATTAATCTCTCTCTTTATCATAATAGTATTATGCAGTACCTCTGGTTCTTAATATAAGAGTTAATCAACTAGTTTGAATAGATTAAGAAAACTAATTACGTTAAATATTTGTAATAAATATGTGTTATCTTTTAAAAAAATCCTCGCTAATCAAGTATATTGGATATAATTATCATTATTACAGGAACTATCTTGTGAAAGACAAAGTAGATTGAAATCTTATATTAAAAATCAAACAAATTCTTATATTAAGGATCAGATGTAGTACAATCTAATTGTTTTGAAGTTGAGAAAGGTGCATTAATATTATACGGTTTTGTTAAAAATTCAGTCAATTATTTCACGATTCCTTAAATCTTACTCAGCGCAGGAATTCGTTTTCATATATTTCTCGTTACTCGTTACTCGTTAGCGTAATCTATTATGATGATGATTATATTCGTATTTAGTACTCCAATATTAATTTATTACAAAGATGGTAGTTATCCGAAGTACATATAGCAATGAACATGGCACCGATTAGGGAGAAATTTGATTCCAGATCACGTTCTGAATCCCTAGATGCCACCAATACCATTCTTCATTTTTTTGTCCTTATGTCACATGCATATGAAGCATCTTCTTGACTAAGTAGTCACCGCCCGCCCTAATTACATCGCTTCAATCCCTTCAGGAACATGTTTGAAGTTTTCTTTGACATTCATATGCATTTAATTAGTTTAATTAATTAATATTGAAAATATTGATATACATATAAAGTAATTAAAGCAACTCCATTAATATACATTATTAATTTCATCAGTAGGGATCTTGGCAATATGTTGGGTAAAAAAAAAGCCTTTTGTATAAGCCAACTTGGGAGGCCATTGTGATGCTTTAAGCGCACACAAAAGCATTGACTTTCGTCATATTATTGTGTTCTTCTTCTTCTTTTAATGGTATTGTAATTTCTATTTGGACGGCAATATCACTCCCTTATAGGTGTCACCAACCTACGTCGTGCACATTAAGAAAATTCAGTTAATTGTTTTATAACACGATTATTCAGATTTAGGTCTAATTGAATGGATTTTTATTCGTGTGTATATATATATATATATATATATAAGCTTCATTTTGTCATAAATTTAACAAATAGTATCCAAGGAAAATGCACCGACCATTTATTAAAACAACTTTTATTATGGATTAACCACACTCAGCAGTGGGTGATTTGTACTTGAAACTGGGGGAGTAATTCAGATATGGTAACCATAAACGAGCCATATAGATGGAAATGTTGTGATATAAAGCTGGGATTGCTAGGTCAAGGCAAGAACAGAACCAAACCCTATATAAGAATTTAGTAGCTTATTATGTTTGAGCCTGTTTTACTCCCAGGCAAGAAGAATATGAAGGTCTAAGCGGTAAAAGTTGAGCGACAGGCCCCAAGACAGGGCTTCCCCCAGTTGCATCTTACCGTGCATGATAGTAGCATTTAATAATAACCAATTAATCAGCTGGCAGAGAAGAATTGCCAAGTCAAATTAAAGACACATATAAAACTCCATAAGAAGTGTGGCCTGCTGTGGTTATGGCCGAAGGAAGCAAGCACTGTTCTAGCAGCTAACCAGACCGGCCATATATAATAATCCAACTATTTATATTTCAAACAACCCTTATTTTGTATCCCCGTGTGTGTATTCATTCCTCATATATATAGTTGGTCTATTATATAATAGTGCTCCTTCAGCCCTTAATATATGATCTAATTATTAAGTTGATTTTAATTCTAAATATAAGACCTATTTCTCATATTTATCAAATTTTTCTAAATTATCCCTATGAATACTCTCTCAATCATAATCAATTAGAAGAGGGAATGAGGATATTAAGGTAGATGATTATGGCATTTTAGAAAAAACATGTTATGTTTCTTATAATTAACAAACTCACCTAACTTTTTTAATCGAATCAAGTTAATTAAATAGGTATTATATTAAAAACTGGAGGAGTAATTGATTATTCCATAGATGGAAAATATCATTTTATATTATTCCAAATCTGATCTCTTTCCGTCCAATTATGGCAGCTTAATTGATCAAGTATATGATTTATGATAACACGGTAGATGAAAGTACAGCATTGAATCAGTGTTACTAGACAATTAAAATGTGAAACGCTGAACTGTACTTAACTTAGAAAAGAAGACAAGAAGGCCTATAAAAGGACATCAATAGCCACCCAGCTAATGCATCCCGATCAAGTTCTCCATTTGTGAAAGTGAAGGAGAAAAGTAAGACCGTTAAGGAGGTTTACCGTTTCCAATATGAGGTCTACATTATGCTTACTGGCTTATCTGCTACTTTTTGCTTCTCTTGTGGTTGGACAAGGGGACAAACTAAGGAAGAACTTCTACCGAAGAGCTTCTTGCCCTCAAGCTGAGGACATCATCAAAACAAGAACCACACAGCTTGTGTCTTCTAACCCTGCTTTGCCAGCCCAGTTACTGAGATTGCACTTTCATGACTGCTTCGTCAGGGTACATATTTCATTTCTCACAACTTCTTCTTGTACTTCTCATTATTCCGTGTTCTCTTTATGGCTTTTTCTGGGCATCTGTATATATATAACCTGCTTGCAAAACAATATGTATAATTTCAGGGTTGTGATGCATCAGTCCTGCTGAGCTCGACTGCTAATAACACTGCAGAAAGGGACTCAATCCCAAATCTGACTTTGAAAGGCTTCGAAGCCATCGATGACATAAAAGCAACCGTCGAGGCGCAATGCCCAGAAGTTGTTTCCTGCTCAGACATCCTCGCACTGGCCACTAGAGACGCCGTCTCCATCCCGGTAAGTGAAGCATATAATACGTTATTATAAATGATATAATAATTTAGCAAAGCAATAAGAAGTTGGTGGCTGGTTAGTTTTGTGATGCGTACGTAATCTCTCTCTCTCTCTCTCTCTCTCTCTCGATGTATGTGTGCAGTTTAAGAACCCTCTATGGGATGTGCCTACTGGTAGAAGAGATGGGAGAGTATCCATAAGCCAAGAAGCATTGATCAACATTCCAGCACCGTTCTTCAACTTCACTCAGCTCAGAACCATCTTCACCAGAAAAGGCCTCACCTTGCACGAGCTTGTGGTGTTGTCAGGGGCCCACACCATCGGAACAGCTCACTGCAACACCTTCAGCCGGAGGCTCTTCAACTTCACAGGAAAAGGCGACCAGGACCCTTCTCTGGACCCCAAATACGCCGAGTTCCTCAAGTCCAAATGCAAGGGCCTCAGTGACACCACCACCGCCGTGGAAATGGATCCAAACAGCTCGACCACATTTAACTCTAGCTATTATTCCAACCTTGTCCAGAACAAGGGACTGTTCCAGTCAGATGCTGCCCTTTTGACCGACAAGCAGGCCACAAAGACTGCCAATGAACTGATTGACGAAAAGAGTTTCCTCACCGAGTTCGCGCAGGCCATGAAGAGGCTCGGAAATATTGAGGTTCTCACCGGCAACAGTGGAGAAATTAGGAAGAAATGCTCGGTTGTTAACTCTTAAACTGGCTCCTAACTTTTTATTCCTTCATGATTTTGTCTTCGTTTTTTTTTTTTTTTTTTGTTTTGAAGTTTCAGTTGAAAACGTGGGATTGTCAAACTAGCGTGTTGTGTCGCTGATTTCATCTATTGTGTTGCTCGAAGAGTTATGCATGTTTTTTATTCATTGAATAAAGTTTGTGTTTCACTCTGTTGACCCCAAAAAAATTGTTTGTGTTTGACTCTGAAGCGGGGAATACATACTTGTATCGTTCCGTGCTATTGTGACTGTACCGGAGCCCCCAAACTGGTTCCCATTTTCCTCCTCTACCTCTCGCCGTCGCGTGGAAAGGCCATGTTTTTTTGCTTACTATATATATTTATATATTCTCCTCCGCTACTTAATATAAGACCCAATTCTTAAATTGGTTTTGGTCCTAAATATAAGACCCATTTCTTATATTTATCAATTTTCTCTAAATTACCCCTATAGATACTCCCTTAACCATAATCAAGTAGAAGAGGGAGAGAAGATATTAAGAAAAATGATTATGGTGTTTTAAGAAAAATGTGTCACTTTTCTTATAATTAACTAACTTACATAACTTCCTTAATCTAATCAAACTAGTTAAATGGGTCTTATATTAAGGACCGGGGGAGTATTACATTTAAATTGAAATAATTTTATAAGACTTACTCCTCTGATCCTATTTATAAGATACTTCCAACATGTTTCATATAGATTAAGAAAAATCTTAAACTTCATTAACTCTCATTTAAAATTTAATGACGTTTCAACTTTATCCCTATTTAATATATATTATACCTAATATAAACAAAGTCAACACAATGATAAATAATGGGTAAAATTGTACATCTATACAAAAAATTTCTCTCAGTACCCTACAAATAAGATTAAAAAATACCTTCTCTCCACTCTATAAATAGGACTAGAGGAGTATTTATTAAGAAAAGCTCACGAATCTGGGGGCTTGCCTTATACTAAAACTCTTTATGCCGTTCTCATTTATTTTACATGTGTGAAAGTCAAAGTCTCAGGTGTCATCATAAGATTTTATCGATTGAAAATATGTATGTAGATTCTTCTTCAATTGTAAATATAAGACCCTTACTATATTTTATTAGGATATGATTATTTTTTTAAAAATAAACTTTGACAAATTATCAAATTATATTAAAAAAGTATTCCATTCCAAATGCGCAAGTTATTTTGTAATATTATTTTTGTACATGTGAAGAATAAAAATCATCCCCCTTGCAATTGCAAATGCGTTAATCTAGCCATTGTTGATTTTCTTTGGCCTTGATCTGTTGATTCGAAATAGACTAATGACTAGTTGAGTAGAAAGTTATTTACACTCTTCCTCTTATTAGAAGAAATTGCTAACTAGTCCACACATATCATCACTAAATAAACAGTTAAAAATATTACATTTGCCATAAAATTCTAGTGATTTTCAATATTATTCTCATTAACTACAATAAATTATCCAACTTCATATTAGTTTTTATTTTCTCACTACCCTTATTAAATGCTGACATATATGGATAAAAAAAATACTCCTCCGGTTCTTAATATAGAACCCAATTGTTGAGTTGGTTTTAGTTCTAGATATAAAACTCATTTATCATATTTATCAATTTTTTTTAAATTGTTTTTATAGATACTTCCTCAACCATAATCAAGTAGAAGAGGAAAAGAGATATTAAGAAAGATGATTATAGTGTTTTAGGAAAAACGTGTCATATTTCTTATAATTAACTAACTTATCTAACTTATTTAATATAATCAAATTAGTTAAATAAATCTTATATTAAGAATCGGAGGAGTACTTAATATTCATTAAAACTAGCATACGGTCTTATAAACAGGATAAAAAAAATGTCTTCTAATAAGGCTTTTATAATAAAGACCAGGATGAGTACCTAGCATATTATACATGCCCATCAATTTGATATATATGTTAAACGACATTAAATTATGTTAGATTCACTACAAAAAAATATGTTAATTCTAGCGGTTATGGTGTTACATTTCTAGCGGTTTTAACCGCAACAAATAACATTTGTAGCGGTTAAGGAAACCGCTAGAAAAACAGGTGTTAGAAAAAATTTCTAGCGGTTATCGCAACCGCTACACATCATGGTCAAAACGATAGAAAATTTCTAGCGGTTCCGAACCGCTAGAAAATATCTGAAGGAGACACATTCCTAGCAGTTATAAAACCGCTAGGAATTTTTTCCGGGGAAAAGTTTCTAGCGGTTTTAAAACCGCTAGAAACTTTTCCCCGGAAAAAATTCCTAGCGGTTTTATAACCGCTACAAACCTGCTAAAACGGGAATTAAATAATTTCAGTAGCGCGCGAAAATTACTAGCGGTTATAGAACCGCTAGAAATGTTTGGGAAATTAAATTTTCACACCAATTGAATTTTTACAATGGCGGGAAACTTTTCTAGCGGTTTTTAACCGCTAGAAAGTTTGGCGCGAAATTTAAATTTGACGAAATATTTCTAGCGGTTCTGAACCGCAGAAAAAAAAATTTATGGTTTTTCATATTATAATTTTAAAAACCATTAAATAAATTATTTTGAAGAATTTTTGTTAATTTGTATAATTAGTTATATGTTACATTTTATATATTCAAATTTTGTAATAAAAAATATGTAATTAAATTATGAATGTGTTAAAAGAAGTGAATTTAATCTAATAAGATAATTTAATTGAATATTTAATAAGATAGTTGAATTGAAGATGATATATTTTGGAATATTGAACCTATAGTATTAAGTTGATGAGTATTTGAATCAGTTGAGGAGGGCATGACAAATGTGGAGAAGAAAAATCTGAAAGGAAAGGAGAAATAAATATGTTAGTAAATTTTAAATAAAAACAAATAAAAGATACAATGAATTATAAAATAAAATTCACTTACCATAGAGTAAAGAGAAAAAAACCACAATATGAGATAGTAAGAAAAAAAGAAAGAATTATGAAGAAGAATAGGAGAGGAAGGAAAAGAGATGGAGTAAATGAATGTAGAGAAGATATGGTATTTATAGAGATCAGCGACACATTTGTAGCGGTGTTTTTGTAGCGTTTTATAACATTTTGTAGCTGTTATTCATTTTCTAGCGTATATAAAAGCGCTAGTAATTAGTAGCGGTTACATATGTAGCGGTTATTAACCGCTAGAAATTTAGTATTTTTTATTTTTAAAATCTGAACGAATTTTAATTTACAGGTATGTATTTTGTAGCGGTTATGAACCGCTACAAATGAAAATTTTTTTATTTTTAAAAAATTTTTACGAATTTTAATTTATACATATGTATTTATGGACGAAAAATTTGTTAAATAATTTATTTTGGATGCTGCTACTCTCCATCATCATCCGGCCTGAAAGGACATATTTTAAAAAAATTTGTTAAATTTATGTTGTATTTGGAAAAAATTAGTAATTAGTAGTTAATTATTTAAATAATTTAAGAAAAGACGTGTACCTGATAAGTGGCAAATTATCATCTCCTTGAGGAAAGAAGTCTTCAAAATTCGAGGGTTGGAAGGGTTCACTGTCGTAAATAATGTCACCATCACCCATATCGTAAAGATCCCGTGGCTTGAGGTGAACGACCATATTCCAGTCTTTATGTTTCTCGTCCTCGACATAGTAAATTTGGTGTGCCTCAGAAGCAAGGATATATGGCTCATCATCTTCAGATGCCCCCGTATGAATAAGTCTTGAGAAATTGACTGAGGTGATGCCCAAATGGTCAGTAGCGAGTCCCCGTGAAGTTGTCGTATTTGCCCAGGAGCATTTGAACAGTGTCACGGTGAAAAGCTGGTAAGTCAACTCAATAATGTCAATTAGCTTTCCATAGTAAGTGACGCCTCCAAAGCGCATATCGCCATCACTACTGCTAGCATAACATCTCGTTCCGAATGTCCCGCAAACTCCAGAGTTTTGTGTGAGCAATCCCTGATCACGTGCAACCGTACAGAACTTGAAGCCGTTGACATTGTACGCGGTAAACCTTCGTGCATGGTCTAACGGACCGAGAGAAAGAGCTCTGAATTCATCTGTGTATGGGCTGTTGTCATTACGTATTCGACGTGTAAACCAACTGGGAAACTCTTTGTGGACTCTTTTATCAATGTCAGCAGAACGCGCACGGCCCCGTAGCTGACGCCTGAGATAACTCCTAAACTCACTATAGTAAAGTGTAATTTGTTAGAAGAGTCAGTAAGAAACAAATATAAAGTGTAAAAGCTAGTGAGCTTATATGATATATATACTTACTGCATGAAGGGTTCAACTTGGCTGCAATTTATCAAAACGTGTCTGTGTGCCTGGAGTTTCTCTGTAGGAGTGAGTCTGAAGAATTCATATCCTCCAACTGGTTTCCCAACAGGAGGAAATAAAGTTGACGTGGAAGGACCGGGAGGAGAATCATCTACGCGACGCGGGCGGTTAAAAGATGTCTCCATGTCATCAAAGTACCTCGAACAGAAAGTTAGGACCTCATCTCCGGAATAACCTTCTGCTATTGACCCCTCAGGCCATGCCTTATTCCTAACATATGATTTTAATTTTCCCAAGTACCTGTAAGTTAAAATTGCATTAATAATTACGAGTAAATGAAAGAACAATGTGAAATTTAAAGAGGCGGGAATAAAAGATAATCTAGTACCTCTCTATAGGGTACATCCATCGATAGTGAACTGGGCCAGCAACCTTTGCTTCTCGAACAAGGTGGACAGTCAAGTGAACCATAACAGTAAAGAATGATGGAGGAAATATCATCTCCAAGTGACAAAGTGTAAGAATAATTTTATTTTGCAGCTGATCAAGCTCTTCCGCTACCAAGACCTTCGCACACAACTTCTTGAAAAATGAACATAATTCTACCAAAACCACCGATACATCAGAAGGAAGTGTGTTTTTCAAGGCCAATGGAAGTAACTGTTGCATAAGAACATGAGAGTCATGACTTTTCAACCCAGTAACCTTTCGAGCCTGCAGATCGATACACCTTGAGATGTTGCTAGAATATCCATCTGGTACTTTTATGTTCTTCAACGTCGAGAGGAAGATATCCTTGTTCTGCTTTGTCAAGGTGAATTTAGCTGGCTGAAACTTGTCGTTTTCATCAGGCCAAGCCTCTTCAC